TGAAACAGTAACTATCACTAGAATTTTCAAAGGAGCCTAAGGAAGTTACATGTTCCAATCTCATTACATGTTCCAACCCCTCAGACAGAGACAAACACCTACAAGATCTCTATCAAGCGTTCTTACAACTACAATACCCATCTGCTGAAGTGAAGAAACAGATTGACAGAGCCAGAAGAGTACCCAGAAGTCACCTACTACAGGACAGGCCCAACAAAGAAAATAACAGAACGCCACGAGCCATCACCTTCAGCCCCCAACTAAAACCTCTCCAGCGCATCATCAAGGATCTACAACCTATCCTGAAGGATGACCCATCACTCTCACAGATCTTGGGAGACAGGCCAGTCCTTGCTTACAGACAGCCCCCCAACCTGAAGCAAATACTCACCAGGAACAACACACCACACAACAGAACCACTAACCCAGGAACCTATCCTTGCAACAAAGCCCGTTGCTAACTGTGTCCACATATCTATTCAGGGAACACCGTCATAGGGCCTAATCACATCAGCCACGCTATCAGAGGCTCATTCACCTGCACATCTACCAATGTGATGTATGCCATCATGTGCCATCAATGCCCCTCTGCCATGTACATTGGCCAAACTAGACAGTCTCTACGTAAAAGAATAAATGTACACAAATCAGACATCAAGAATTATAACATTCAAAAACCAGTCTCAGAACACTTCAATCTCTTTGGTCACTCGATTACAGACCTAAAAGTGGCAATTCTTCAACAAAAAAACTTCAAAAACAGACTCCAACGAGAGACTGCTGAATTGGAATTAATTTGCAAACTAGATACAATTAACTTAGGCTTGAATAAAGACTGGGAGTGGATGTGTCATTACACAAAGTAAAACTATTTCCCCATGTTTATTCTCTCCTCCTTCCAACCCGCTGTTCCTCAGAAGTTCTTGTCAACTGCTGGAAATGGCCCACCTTGATTATCACTACAAAAGCTTTCCCCCCCCTTCCCCCCCCCGCTCTCCTGCTGGTAATAGCTCACCTTACCTAATCATTCTCACTACAGTGTGTATGGTAACACCCAGTGTTTCATGTTCTCTGTGTATATAAATCTCCCCACTGTATTTTCCACTGAATGCGTCCGATGAAGTGAGCTGTAGCTCACGAAAGCTTATGCTCAAATAAATTTGTTAGTCTCTAAGGTGCCACAAGTCCTCCTTTTCTTTTTGTGGATACAGACTAACACGGCTGCTACTCTGAAACCTGTCATTATAATTCAGTGACAGTTGGGCACCTACTTCCCTTGGGCTTCATTTAATATCCCAGCTTTAGAATACTAACCTTTATGACATCTCTCAAGATCATGATAGTAGCCTCTCATAACATAAGGTATGATCCAACTCAATTCTCTTTTGCCACCCAACATTCTGACAGACTAAAAACACAGTTTTCTTAGCCATATAGAATAACATCCTAATGGAATTATTTCTTGAACTATGACCAACTGATTGACCGGCCTCCACCACTACCGCATCATTTATACAACTTCTCAGGCAGCCTTCTGCCCTCTCAAGCCACACTGCTGATCTGCACATGTACTGGGAGCAACTCTGCAAGCCCTGGTGTACATACAAACTTTTCTTGAACCAGGGCACTGGTGATCACCGACTGCTATTCTGAGCATCACAAGTATTACCTACTGAATCCTTTCTGTAGTTAAATACAATCACACCTATCCCACCTGTTACAGCCCGTAGAACTGTGGCCAGGAGCAAAAGGTAAACAGAAATGGTGGTAAGACAAAATGAGCTAGCCTCTCTTCTGTTCTTTGTCCAAAAGTCCAACAACCCAAAAGTCAAAGTGGATGGTCTAGGTGTCAAGCTAAGCAGGATGGCCTACTAATTTTCATCTAATGGATTCTAAGGATGTGAGGGTAATTGTAAATTACCAGTAAAAAAAGATCCCTCCCAATCAGCACGAACTACCTCGTGGAATACAAAAGCCCAGAAGGTAGAGTGTAATTATGATGCATATTTATAAGCTTTTAATAGCCATTCAGTGGAGGAAAACTGATGAAAGTGTAGTTTAACTTTCCATTTATTCCAGGCAGATATATTTAGACAGGTGCTCTTATAAATTAAAATATTACTTGCAATTATAATTCAACTGTAAGATTGCCAATCTTTGTTTTTTAATAAGTGAATTTCATAACAGATGTGCTAACTTTTGGAGAACTAGCACTATAGTACATCTTTAGGGGAGGTTTATCTTGTTTTCCCATTATTCCATAGGCTTCAATTAAAAAAAAAGTATGTTCCATTGTTCTCATAAATCTCTAAACCCAATAGGAATATTGTAAAATTGTAGTTCAGTGTTTAATGTTCATGTGAATCCCATGATATGGCTGATAAATAGTAATGGGGAGATGACAAATGCTGGTGTTATATATATTATTAAAGCTTAAATATATTACTAAAGCTTATTTCCTGTATTGTAGATTAAAAACCTAACCTAACTGCTTTCAGTTTTCTGAAGCTAATTTCTGCTGTGCACTGACCTTTCAGTATATTGAGTAAACATTTCCTTACCAGTAAGTCTTTGTTTCCCCCCCTCTGGATTCTAAACTATTTTTTCTATTCCCTCTACCAACCCTTCCCTGATTACCCATTATTTCTTTTCTATGGGTATTGTACAGTGTTTAGTTTTATAATGCCAACCAGATTTACATGGAAAGAAATCACACACACACACAATCTCCACTCGACTCCTATCTTACAGTTTAGGATACAGAAAATCCTTTATACAACATTGTGGTGCCAAATATCAAAAGTCCTGCACAACTCATGGTGTAAAACTTTGTTCCCAATCATGCAAAACACCCAATCCCTGATCCCGCAGAGCACTTAAGCACATAGAATCATAGAATACCAGGGTCGGAAGGGACCTCAGGAGATCATCTAGTCCAATGTCCTGCTCAAAGCAGGACCAATCCCCAATTTTTGCCCCAGAACCCTAAATGGCCCCCTCAAGGATTGAACTCACTTAACTTTAAATAAGTGAGTCATGGCATTAAAAAAATTGACTTCAAGGGACAACTCGCATGTTTAAAGTTAAGGGCAAATGTAAGTGCTTTGCTGGCTTATGATCTCAGTGAGTAGAGCTACAAGATCAGACCTATGCTGCATACAGACTGGAAAATATGACTACTTTCTCTGGCTGACATCTTTAAGTGTTTTATGGCGTTTATTGACCAACAGGATTAAAGTTCATATAGCAGAGCTTTATTTCTTGTTACTTTATGGGTAGCTTTTTTTATGAAACACATTGTTCTGACATCCTGATTTTACAAAATGTAATTAAAATGCACCTGTAATGTCTTGTTGCTGAATTTGCAGTTTGATTAAAAATTATACCTCAGCTTCATGTAGTTCATTTTGTAAAACGTACCTCTAGATGGATTAAGTTATGCTAATACACTGTGCTTCACCATCCGCATTATTCTAATTGAACATGTTCTGTCTGATTCCCAATGGTTTACTAATTTAGCTACTTATTGTAATATATGTATACTTGCCTTGGAAAACGTATTATGTACAGCTCCTTTAACCATGTCTATTCCACTCTTAATCTCTTTTTTTCTTTTCCTTCAGCTATCAAGAAGGGCTAATCACTCAAAGCTTTTTTGTTTGCTTGCTTACCAGTTTCAATAGTAATCAGCATTGCTTTACTGTCCGTGTTATAAGCGCAAATTGATCGAGCCGTTTTTGAGCTATGCTGTATGTATGAGTAACCATAAGATCCCTTTCATTAGTTAACTTTAGAATGTTCACCAGATAAATTAAGCAAATGAAGACACTGAACAGAAGTAAAAAGGCATATGTTTTAATGCTTTCCTCCAAACTTTAGTGTCTAACACTAGACCTGGGCACCGTTCTACTGAGGCCTGATTTGAAAGCCCATTGACATCAATGATTCTTAGCCTTTCTATAGACTTTAACGGACTTTGGATCAGGCGCTAAATGTGGGTGCTGTTTTATATTCCTTGTGTAATTTTTAGCAAAAGTTACTGTTTAAAATCCTGAAAGAGAGGAACAGTTATGATTCATTCGTATGATTTATACTACACTGTATCCAGGATGAGGGCAAATCCTGCTATCTTCACTGCAGTGAATAACAGTTGCTTCCTTTTGCAATTAGCATGAAATACTTTTTTTAAAAAAACGTACATAATAAATCACTTACCCTGCAGTCCTGGATTCAGGTAAAACATCTGTTCATGTCAAGGAGAGTCTTGAAAGCAAAAGGTGTGCAAGACTGACTTTGTTTGAAAACCACAGAAAAAAATTGATTGCAAATACTTTTCATATAAATAAATATCAGTTGGAACATGTAAAGATTGTATATGAAAATCCATTTGAAACAAAACTTCAGGTATACCTAAAAGAGAGCTTTGCTTATAGCTTCAGTACAAATGTGAAATAAATGGGGACAAGGAGATTTATTGTCTATGGAAAATTTGAGTATAAATCCCAGTGTAATTGTTCCTATGAGAGATGTAATATTATTTCAGGATAACATGGGCCTCAGTCCTGTCCCATTTACTTCAGTTCAATGGAAGATGGATCAAGCCACAGATTGTGTAAATAAACCCAGGCCATATTCAGGTTTTTTTTTTAATTAAGCATTCATTAGTTAAAGCAGATCTATAGTCCTATATGTCATTCCTTCAATATTTACTTTCATCCTGCAAATTTAAAACAAGCCCTTCATAAATCTCAGGATTATTTCAGTTTGACACTGATTTTATCCTGCAGAATATCAAAGAGCAAATACAGAAAATGCTTTTCTACTTTTTCTTGTCTACCTTAAAAAATAAGATAAACTATCCAAAGGCAAATGTTAAACATATCCATGTATGCTGTTTTATTATCACTTGTTATTTAAATCATTTGTAACTGTGCATTTCAGAGTCCTTCTATTGAATTAATAGAATTAATCAATGTGACTTGACTATGTACATTTCATAGGTAAAGGGATCGGGAAGATTTCAGAAGCAGTAAATCCCACCCAAAAGTTTCACCCCATTGAGGCACTTGAGCCTGGTACTGAATATACAGTTCGTCTAGTGACTAAGAATTGGGTTGATAACAATAGCATTTTTGAAGATGTAATTGAGACGAGGGAGAGAGGTGAGAAATGAAACTGTTTAGGGTGATAAATCCATTGTGACAAAACAAGATTATTTTATTTTTAATATTTCAAGAAATACTGACATTACATATTATGTTGTGCAATGAAAGTGTAACAGTTAAATAATGAAATCTTAGCCTCTTCTTGCCATTTACGTCAATAGGAACACGAATGAGTCCATCATTTTTCAATTCAGCCTTGTATTTTGTCTTCCCAGTAGTAAATAATGACACGTAAATAATTTCCAATACATATTATTTACAGGTTTTAGCTACTATGCCATTTTAATAGGGTAGGTGCTGTTACGTTTTACATCTTCAGTGTAACTAGCTGAGCAGTTTGCATGTACCCTAAACACTTTTAACACTATTTCTGTCGCAAAACTGCTTGCATGAGAGGCTATCAATTTTCTGTCCAACTTTCCTATTTGGCATTAATCCTCTGAATCAAATGCTCCTTTGGAATTACTTATGTATATTATGTTGCGGACACTTTATTTACTTAAATGTGAACATTATTCCTTAGACCTATTATTTCTGTCCTGTATTTTTTCATTTTTACATTGAAAATGTTAGACTGAAATCAGTAAAGCAGCAAATAGCGATAGTTTGGTGTGATTCAGGTTTAGTTCAGAAAATATTAAATGGTGGGTTTTTTGGTTAGGATGGTCTATTTTCCTCTTGTTAAATGTTTTTACTTCTCTCCTTTTACAAAGCTTATGCTGGCATTTATGAGGGAATTTCCACCCAAGGCTGGTTTATTGGACTGATGTGTGCCATCGCTTTGCTTACCTTATTGCTGCTAACTATGTGCTTTGTCAAAAGAAATAAAGGAGGAAAATACTCAGGTAAATGACGTCCTTTTTGAGATATGTATATAATAGCAGTCCTTCTTCACACCAATAACTTCTTATTTAAGTGGAAATGCCTCAATATTTTGCCTTCGGTCCCCTAAAGGTTGAATTTATACCAAGTGAAATACAAAATTTGTATTTGTGTCTTTTAATAAATATAACATTGAGTGAATTTAAATAAACATTATACTCAGCTGATGAGATTCTGTGCTCCATTCGTAAGAGGTGCAGCACAGAACACTCACCCAGAGGAGGAGGCACTATGATGGCTTTAAGCCGCCTTTGAACCTTCCTGATCCTGGGCTGCTCCGGGACTCCTCGATGTAATTGAGACAGCCATGGGGGCCTGTGTAAGTTACAACATCCTCCCCCTGTTGCTTTGTGTGCTGCTGCACTGCTCAGAATCTCCATGGGGCTGTGATACAGCCCCACTCCTAGTTCTGCTCCCAGAATACTCCATGGCTTATGAGGGGGTCATTAGGAGGCATACTGATGGCTGCTCTCTGTACTTCCAGTGTAACACTGACAGACCCTGGATGTTGGTGGGCGGGATCAAACCTGGAACCTCTGGAGCTAAATGCATGAGCCTTCACTGCATGAGCTAAAAGCCACATGGCTCTTAGCTAAGGTTGTAGAGCAGACTCATTAATCTCTCTCTAAGTGGTCTTGGTGCCACTAGCAATCTTGTCACTGGTTAACATCTGCTTATGCCCCAGAGCGACCCTACGGGTTTCATTGTTTTCATTAGTGAGGGTATTTTACATGTGATTCAGGAAGCAACTTCTAACAGGGAAGGTTTAGGCCCTGATCCTGTATCACTAAAGTGAGTAGGAACACCAAGTCGATCATCATACTGATAGACGGTCATTTTTCATTCAAGGTCTCACATATGGAAATTTTAAAATTATGCTCTGGCAGGTCCACCCAGTTGTCAGTGATTTGATATGAATTGTAACTTCTTAAATGTCCTCTGACTAGATCTAGTCATTGCATTACTTGGGTTGTTTGAGCTGTGCAATTAGAAATCTCTGTTCTATTTTTCTCCAGATTTTGTATTCCAAATTAAAAAATGGGAATATTAGATATACGATAAGAGCTATGGAAGTGAAAAGTAAAGGCTGTGGGAGTTTGGTAGTATTAGACCGGTGGTGGGCAACCTGCGGCCCGCGGGCCACATGTGGCCCATCAGGGTAATCTGATTGCTGGCAGCGAGACATTGTGCTGGCGTTGACCATCCACAGGCCCCACCACGCGCAGCTCCCAGTGGCCACGGTTCACCGTTCCCAGCCATTGGGAGCTGCGGAAGCGGCGGATTACCCTGATGGGCTGCATGCGGCCCATGAGCCACAGTTTGCCCACCACTGTATTAGACACTACAATAATTTTCATTATACCTACAGGCTATAATGTTAAAATGCTACATATTGCCCCTTACTCAGGTAGGGTTACAATCCAGCCCTATATGTTATTGTTTCACAGTAGTTGTGCTAATATGTTTTTTATTTCATTGAGCACTATACAAACACAGGGGGCCGTGCTAGGGGATCCAGTTGCAGAACTGGGACCCTAACTTGTACACACAGGGCCAGATTTTTATAAAGGTACTTAAGGTGCCTAATTCCCATTGATTTCAGTGGGGGTTTGGGACCAACATTTCTTAAAAGATCTTGTCCATATTCACTAGAGCTGCATGTGTTTATTGGACTAAAGTCTTCTAATTTGCCTTTTTTTGGCATGTGCAGTTACCTATTTTATATACCCAGTTACAATAATTGTGTTCCCACAATTTTTTTTTCCTAAATCTAATCACAATTAAACTAGCTAGGATAAAAGTAATAGTGGCTGTAGTACACGTTGATTGTCAGCAGAAATCAGAAAGAAATTTCCCACATGGTACTGCATAATTAGGTTTGTAAACAAATTACATGGATTTACATAGGGTGACCAGACAGCAAGTATGAAAAATCGGGATGGGGGGTAATAGGGCTCTATATAAGAAAAAGCCCCAAATATCGGGACTGTCCCTATAAAATCAGGACATCTAGTCACCCTAATTTTATACCTTCCTTGGAAACATCCTGAATTACCAACTGATAGAGGCAGGATACTTGACTAGATGCACCTGTAAATCTTTTTTTCCAGCATGGCAATTTTTAAATTCATATTCCAACTAAATAGTATTATAATGACATACACATTATGGTTCCAGATATAGCCTGAATTACACAGGAAAGAAATGTGTCTTAGTAAAAGAAATTGTAGGGGCTGCATTTTCAAAGCAGTGTACAAGGATTTAGCTGCAAAACTCTGACTAGGGTCCTTGGGAATTAGGCAGCTACCCCATTCTACACCTCTTGAAAACATACTCCTCTGTGCAATGCAAAACACTTAACTAAATATGTTGCCCTCCAGCTGTAGATAATGATTGACAGTTTTCCCATAGAATCTGCCAAAAATAAAAATGATACATGAAACAGCATGGTGAACAGATCTATTCTTTCTTTCATTTGTACAGTGAAAGAAAAAGAGGATTTGCATCCAGATCCTGAAGCTCAATCAATTAAAGATGAGATCTTTGGGGAATATAGGTAAATATGATCTACTACATCAAATGTTTTTTTCCCCCAGTATCTTCACAAGTATTTATTTAATGTGTTTTTATTATAGCATGCAAGTAACACTATTTTTTCATTTTCAAAGCAAACCCCATGGGAGTGGATGATAATATGAATGTAAAGATATATCCAGAACACTTTAATCCACCCAAGTTATGATATAGGTAATTTTTGATGGAGTAGCCCTATTTTTCCATCTGTTTCTTATTTAGCACCTTTTATATATATTGTTATATAATGTTTATATTGGGCCTAATCCAAAATCCATTGAAGTCAATGGAAAGACTCTCATTGATTCCAGTGGGTTTTGATTGGGCCCTTAGTAACATGGGGGTTGTTCATTCTGCAAAAGAAGAGAGAAAAATTAAAAAGACAGAAAATGGCAAATAAATATCAGTACAGTAGTTTCTATATAAGAAGTAAAATAGTTACACTTGGCTGCATTCAAGACTAATGAGGCTAATTAATTACATTATATATTTACATTACATATGAAAATACATCGTGGTATGAGCCATATTTGAATACTGGTTAACTAGCTTTAAAAACACAAACGTTGCTGGCTAAATCCGGTATGTATACTAGATTATTTACCAAGGATAAGGTTTTTTCATGCATAATTTCATTTTTATTTAATTTTTAATGCCTTCTAATGGGACAAATATTTAGAAAGGTAAGAATGTCATGAGGTTAGTAATTTTCATCCCCAAATACAGCTTGTATTTTCTAGAAATACAAATACTGTATATGGTAAAATAAGCAAGAAATATTTTGTATATTGATTATGAAGAAACAAATTTGGGGGCCAGTTACTGACATCCTTATTCAGTCAACATTACTAATAACTTCAGTAATAGTTTAAGTGAGGATGGCGGAATTGAACTTTTATGTTACTAGCTTAGAAACCCAATCTTGGGCCCAACAATTTGGAAGATTTTTGTAGCATCTACATCTACTTTCCATTTTTCTTTGGTTATTTCTTTTCATGATAGATGAAAACATACTTGAGATATTTTTATATCTCCTGATTCTAATGACCTTCAGTCCCACTGAAGTCAATAGAGTGGGACAGATTAATGTAAACTAACAGGCCAGTATCTTTTGACCAGCCAACAAAATAGCAGGTGATCCTGTGGCAGTGTGAGCACCTCCTATGAGGTGCTGACCAATTTCAACTCCCCCTGAAGTCAATTGCAGTCAAAAGTGCTGATCACAACTTGGAGGAGATGCTTAAGACTTCAAAGTGCTGGTCTGAGAGGGGCAAATGTATGGTCTAATGCCTATCCTGAATATCTGGTCTTGTAACAGTCCAATGTATGACAGTCTCTCTGTACCATTTATACGGAGCAAGAGTGAGAAGACAGCTGGGTTGTTAAGGCTGCCTGGGCTCCTAGAGCTGCAGTGTGAGGGGGTAGCCAGCAGGCAGTGCCATTGCATTCACATCTTGAGAGGTCGTGCGGTGAAGTTGTGCAGAAGTTACTCAATTTTTATGTGCAACTACGGTAAGTTGCATTAATTTGTTGGTTCTCCTGAAATCACTTTAATAGAACCATCTAATTGGATTCTCTCAGTCTCGACCATTTTCTGTTTGGATATGTACGTAAGATGATTTACTTCAGATCATCATTGGCCATGAGCATCTTTCTGGGAGACATAGATATCCTAGAGATACACATGGCTGTACTCTGCTGTCACCTTCTTCATTGTAAAGCCAGTGGAACTCCACTGATTTCAGTGGCGTTACTAGGCAGACATTGGCATAAATGAGAGCAGGAATATGGCCCAGTTGCCTAATATTTTAGGGATTCCAGTTAAACTTGTAACATCGTGTCTTTGACTAAAAAATGCTATTGCTTCTTTGCCCATTTTTATTAGTATAAGAATTTCTAATAATATTACTTATATCTCGTGGCAGTTGGGAAACGTCTGTGACAAACTCCCAGCCTTTTTTTAGATCGGAAATGCTGAGCTTTCCAGAATATACAATAACAGGCTCTCATTGCAAGATCTCCTGGGATTTCTCATGCCATTTCCACTGGAGTACCTCAGTCAGAAGATACAGTTTCCTTTAGGCTTCACTGTTTCCAATGCATTTTTTCGTAGCAGCCTTAAACAGGTCCTCATTGCAAATTGCCTCTTTTGACTCCTTCTTAGTAATTAGGTGTTGTGTCTTCTTTGCTATTTTTGCTATGCCTAATAAAAAAGGATTTGAATTAATATAGATTAGCATAAATTTTTTCATTATAGCTTTGCCAAATAACACTAGGTGTCTTTTAACACTTCATTGAATCATTCTTTCATATACATATGTAAATTCAGAGTTTGAGGCTGGAGATGTAATGCTGTAATCAATGTGCAACTAAGCTGTGATGCTGATAGGTTCCACAGAGTTAACTGAAAAATGGAACACATCCTTTGTGAAAAATGTTGCAAAATAACTTTCCCCTTTGTCACGGAAAAACTGGGGTATCATTCAAAGGGAATGGCCCAGAGCTCTGGGCTGGTCAGGGTGTATTTGGCACAAATCCAGAGTCTGGGACCTTTGTGACTCCCTAATCCTTAGGTAAAAAGAAAAGGAGTACTTGTGGCACCTTAGAGACCACAAGTACTCCTTTTCTTTTTGCGAATACAGACTAACACGGCTGCTACTCTAATCCTTAGGTGTAGCTGAAGAGAGCACAGCCTGCCAACACAAGGGTCATTCCAGCAATTAAGGATTAGCCATACACAGGTGTAATCCAGCCACAAACCCTGCATGGGACTGGGGAAGGCTGAATGGTGAATTAAGTGCAAAGCCAGAGCAGCCCAAAACAGATTTGGAGACTCTTCCCAAGTAATTCTAGAGCATATGAAATGATGGGCTCTTTGTACTGAATACAAATGGTATGAAGAAGTGAGGTTTGGGCCTGATATTTCAGAGATGAGTCAAGATCCACATATATTATGGCATGTGCAGTAACTGCAATTGTATGTACAGATTGGTATTTGGGGCACACAGCTGTTTAGGGGCCTACCTGTTTGTGCATATAAATTACCCACTTTATGTAATTCTGTGCCCCTAGATGGGTCTTCAGCACTGAAGTCAAACCTGGCACCTCTGCATCTGAAAGCAAAAGAGATCCAGCTCTCTTACCCAAGGCTGTAGCAGGCTCATAAGCCCCGATAGTGTGGCCCAGTTGTCCCTAGACAGGAACAGGGTGCTCCACTGAGTGAATGTGGATTATGACTGTGCAGTTGCGAAATAGATAAACATGCAAAATATATTTTTATTTATTACTCAGAATAAATAAAAGTGCCCACCAGCACCATGCCGATCATTTAAAGTTACAAAAACCAAAGTGCTCACCCCTTCCACCAAGCAGCAGGACACAATAAAGTACCAATACCCCCAAACATCAGCCTTTACCTCAATCCACCTACTCCACTTCAAAGGCTAGGTGAAGGAAATGGACCCTGCAATGGGCAATACAAATGGCTCTTTACTTTGTAAAATCAGACTCTTTATGCCTCTCTTTAAGATACAAAATAAGATACAATGATGCATCATTAGAGCCGGTTTTCAGCTTTTTTGTCTTTTCCCCTTCCTCCTCCCTCCATTTTCAATGGCAAAAGAAGGAAAAGGGACAAAAAAGGAAAAATAAAAACTGTCCACAATCCATTCTTTTCAGTAATGTTTGCATTTTTTGGTTTTTGTTTTGTTTTTTGACCTATTCCTTAAATTCAAAATTACAAAAAATGCAAAATGCAAACAATGCACAGAGCAGGGTGTATTAGCGGCACCACATCCATTGACTTGACTTGGAATCAAGTGAGTAATGTGTTGTGTGCAATATTTTGAAAATGTATCCCAATCAAAATGTATCTGATTCCCTCTTCCCTCAATATGTCTGTTTATTTTGACAAAGGAAATGAACGATTGCTTTTGTAACTGTAATACAAAGCTAGATTTTGGGAAGATTTTTTTTCTTTATTTCATAGTGACAGCGATGAGAAGCCACTCAAAGGCAGCCTCCAGTCACTTAACGGGGACATTAAAGCTACGGAAAGTGCTGATAGTTTGGTAGATTATGGAGAAGGGGACCAAGGGATGTTTAATGAAGATGGTTCATTTATTGGCGCTTACGCTGGATCTAAGGAAAAAGGATCCGTTGAAAGCACTGGAAGTTCTACAGCAACTTTTCCTCTCCACGCATAAAATATTATCATAAATGATTCATTTCAAATTTCCATATTTATCTTGACTAGTAATCAACTATTACCATAGGTAATCAGAAGTAGATTGCAGAACGAATCAGTCAGAACCCCAACCTCCAGGTAATATGGGAATTAGTCGCTGCTATCAAAACATGACTTTTGAGACTTTTCAGTCCTGATTGTTCAGGTGTTTTCATTCATAAAAACAGGTGAATAATACTCTCACATACAATATATACCACTCAGTCTGACCAAAACCATAGCTTCTCAGTGTTACATATGTATATAGATACTTGTTACCCTACATGTTTCTCTATATAACTTTCTATTTCTTGTATGCTTTGTCACTTTGTATAGACATTTACATCCAGTATTCCCTAATATATAATGACCTTAGCATGGTGGAGGTCAGAAGATAGTGGGGGTGGGAGAAGGGAGATTACTTTAAAAGTTAACACCAAGAAAAAAATAATTGAAAACACTATAGAAATACATTCCATATATTATTTAATGTTCACGAAGAAAAAGAAAGTCTGTTTAAGTAATTCTAGAATTAGTGGCTAGAGCTGATTGCAATTACTTAGCGACACAGCTTTATCCACAAGTAATTTGATCTCAAACTTGCTCTCAAAAGAAACCGGTTCCGATCTGGTATCTATATCTTCTCTCCAGTAGCTGTCACTCTTTCCTTAAACAAGTTCAGTTACACTAGTTTTCCTTTGGCAGAGGATAACGAGGCTCATCCCACATCTGTTCGATGTGTCAAGGAAGCAGGATCAGGTCTTTAGACTACTAAAAAGGCCACCTGAATCTGCCACCCAAGATCTTTGAAAGCTGCATTTCTAAGCAACTGCGTTTTGTCTGCTTTCTGTCTGTATATCTGTATGCGAGCATACATTTCAGGAATGCATTGTACATATTATTTACAGTGTTGCTGTAGTGATGTTGGTCCCAGGATACCAGAGAGACATGGTGGGTGAGGTAATATCTTTGTTTTGTACCAGTTTCTGTTGGGGAAAGAGACCAACTTTTGAGCTACACAGGGTTCTTCAGAAGAAGACGTTGGTCCAATAAGAGACATCCACCTTGTCTCTCTTGTACATATTATGTTAATATTTACATAACTGAAAACACAGACTGGTTTTAATTTGAAGTGAGAAAATGATCCTAGCACGAGTCTGTATTGCTATGTAGAAATAGAGGGACTAGTTGTGTATGAAACAGTCCATATATTAGCTTTTCCTCTTTCTTTTGGATAATACTTAAAAATAATTGTTTCTCTCTCCAAAAAATAAACCCTGAATAATTAGGTATTTTTTTAAAAAAATATTTTCACATCCTGCATTGTTACTTTTTTAAAAAATGGATTACACTAGAATTTCTTTTCTATATGGTTTACTGAATAAGGTTTAAAATTCCCAATTTGCTACTCATTCCTTTTTATATTTGGTCTCCCAATTATTTTTAAAAGTTTGTTGTTTTTTTTTTCTTTTATATTTTGTTAACTTCGGTACAGTGCAAATGTTCCTTGTAGTTCTGTGTTGTTCTTTTAAAATGGTTGTATCTGCATAATTACAATTTAGTCATTGTTAGAAGGAGAAATTTTACTATATACAAGATAATTCCTGCAAAATCTTTTATACACGAGTAGTCCTTAGGCAAATAGCTCTGTTGATTTCATTGCAAGTACTTCAGTGGAAATAATAGTGTAAGTAAAGACTACTCCCATGAGTAAGGGTTTGCAGGATCAGACCCAGAATTACAACTTTATGAGCTGCACGATGCACGTTATTAAATAATCATAACACTGGTTTTAATTTTATACAATACCTAAGGGACCAGCTCCCATTCATGTACTTAAATGAAGTGGCTTGAGTTTCAAAAGTTCTCAACAACAATTGAAAACAATGGTAGCTGTTGGGTGCTGGCCCTAAATCTACCATCTATTTGGAATAAAGGCCAATGGGACTACTTATAGGTGGCTTATAAGAGAATGATATGGTCATAGGTTAAAATAGTTAGCACACTATACTGTATTATTAGCACCTCAGATCCCTAAAATTGGGAGAATTTGACAAATGTCTCACTATTTGTACTGTATATTTTTTTTACAGTTAATTCAACTTGATCACTGAAAAGGGACTGGTCAGTTTGGGGGAGGGGAGAAGGGTCTCACACACAGAGGTTCTGGCAGGAAACTGAAACCTTACATCCTGTCCCAAGTCACACAAGGTGACTTTTTTCAGGACTCCAGACAAATTAACCGACAGGACGAGTGTCCACTGACACTAGTGCATGAGAACCTGAAAGTGAAATAAACTGAGAATTGACCAGACTTGTGTTACAATTTTCAATTTGTTGCTAGTCTGTTCTTAATCCATTTCACTTTGAGGGGGCTCTGCACTAGCACAGGGGAGCAATGTTTGGCTAGCAGAGGAAAGTTTCCTTGCCTTCTCAGTTATTTCCACCGAATATTCTTTTTTTTTAATTGAAATGTTTTGATTGCCTTGGATTTTGTAAACATTAAGTTTAGTCTCTTCATCTTTTCTCTTTCTACCCTCTAAAGAAACTCTTAATAGGACAGGGAGAGGCCCTAGTTAGCCTTATCCAGCAAGATGGAGTAATAAGTCCCCAACCACCACTGCTCCCATCCACAAATTACTGGCCTTTCTAGTTTTTTTTTAATGGTCCATTGAGTAGCCAGAGCCTCTCTTCTTCTCCCCTACTGCTGTGCCAACTTCTGTAGGTGGCACAGAATCCTCAGAGAGAAATCTGATTGTAGAGGAGGGAAAGGTCCAGACTAGGGTGTTAGAGTGTATTAGGTAAGAGCTCAATTACAGAAGCCTTCTCCTTCTACTCCCCATAGCTACTAAACAACTCCTCTGTTCAAAGGGTTTGTACCTCTGATTGGGGCAAACCTTTAGGACTGTGGGCCACTGCCATCTGCAAGTTTGGATGGCTGCTCACACTCACACATTAGGTACGATATGAGCCATGAAAAGTCAGCAAAGATATGCATTTTTCTTGCACTTACAGGATGTTCGGTTCAACTGGAGTCATTGTCCCAGAAACATCTATGTTAAACAGACACAAATTTCACACCACATTAGTGGGACAGCCTCTTATCAAATAATGAATAAGCATCCTCTGCTATGACTTGCTCATTTGTAGCTTAAAGTTGCTGATGACATCCCTGTGATGTGCTATTCATCTGTGTCGGTATGAGTACTTTTTCTATTTTTTTTTATTCAGTCTCTTAAATCTTAATGTTCGTGATTCATTACTCCTCAGGGCCTAAAAATCACACTGTGACAAAAAGATGTGCAATGAAATTTTTTTAAACGTGCACTGACTTTTTAGGATTCTGCCCAATGAATATTAAACAAACGTCTGAAATTCCCAGAGATTCTTGTGTCTGTCTAGCTCCATTCTCTTTCTTGAGTAATTCTTTTTCAGCAGGGATTTTTTTAGGCACCACTATATCTACTTTATATCCTGGAATGTGCAGAAGATTAAAATATGCTTCCAAAAGAGATGTCATTTTAAAAACAAAACAGCAAAACAGTTTATACTTTTGGAGCCAATTTTTCCTTTCATGCAAAGCAGGCCAGTTCCATTCATTTCAATGGGGTTTGGTGTAAAGAAGGGGACATTTTGATACTTATGTTGCATTTAAAGTATTAGCACCATAAATGTGGTACCACAATTAAGAGAACAGGTATTTCTGATATTTTTCAGAAGTGCTTGAAATCCTCTTAATCAAATAACATTTTGGAAATCTGTAATGATTTTTCATTTAATTTGTTACATACAAAAAACTCCTCCTATATTAAAACTGCATACACTGAATGAGACAGGGGTCTTATGAAAAAAATGCCATGTGATCATGTAGTATATCTCATAATACATACACACGTGAAAGCTGAATTAAGGTTGCATATGAAACCTTAATTCTGGCCTTTCCTAAATTTTCTGATTTGAACTTTACAACTGTAACTAATATTTTTAAACATAGATTTTTGTCTGTAATTTCTTAGGTTTCTTTTAAAGGAAAAAGTAAAAACAAATTTTAATTATATGCAAATGCAACAGCTCCCCCTATCATACATCATCAGTCAGTTTGAACCTAAACCTCCAGCACAGCTTGAGGACTTAATTACAGTAACCATTTTAGTTAGCAGTAAGAGAAAACTGATATTCCATAGAAAGGTGTGACTAGGTTACTGGAGTCACGTGCTGGGTCTAAGGAAAATGAAGAGATTACTATGAGTGTGGAACAGTTCTCCTCTTTTCAACCTTCTGGAGGTGAGGGAAGCTCCTTCCCCATGTGGTACTCCTGGGGGAAGTAGAGGGAAGGGGTTTTAGAAAGGAGAAAAGCTTGGCTCTCTCTCCCCTCACTCCTGTTCTGTCTGTTGCTGCTCTGATAGCGGCATGGGATCAAGCTCAGATTAGAGTTAATTCTATTATTATTTTGGCATGCTGCCAACATTTTACTGGCAGCACAAATCACAGAAGGGTAAAGGTGATTTTCAGAAGCTTATATCTCAGCCACACCTGAATGGAATTTCATCTGACAAAGAAAAGGCACTTCTCTGGTTCCAGGGATTTCTCCCTAATGAATTTCAAAGGCCCACTTTAAACAATGGAGGTGATAGAGCTACTCAAAGAAAAGGTTGCAAAAATCTTTTATAATGAAAAGTTTTAGGTAAGCAAAATACAGCGGGTTACTCCTCCCTGGTAATAAGGACCAAACGCTTTACTCATGTTGGATAATCCTAGCCTCCACTAGTATTCCCATCTACTCTAATACTACATACTCATGGAGTATGGCCTATTCAACAAGGGTAAGGGCATTAGAATCTGGCCCTCATATATCAGAGCATTACATTTTAAAATATGCACAATCCACCCAAGAAAGAAAGCTTGCATAATATTGTATTCTTCGGAATGGCCTCCATCTCCAGTTTAGTCTCTGGTGGTGTTTGTGAGCTCACGGGCACAAAGTTCAAAGGAGTTTATGCATTTTAAAAACTGTATTTCCATCTCTGTGCATTCTCCCATTTACATCAGTGGGATTCCCAAGGAGGCTTTGATACTGGATTCCAATACAGGATAAGTGTCTTGGCCATGTATCTGCTTCCAATTAAGACAATAGACAAGTTATTTTCCCCTATGAATAAATCAATATATATATATATTGGAACATAGACTGCAGGATTGGAAGGGACCTCCTGGGTCATGGAGTTCAGTTCAGCAACCCCATCATATAACTCCATTAATAAATTTATTAAAATTACAATGGTTAGGTTGTTTAGTATATATAATTAATAAGAAATCATATCTTCTGTAGGTCAGCTTTCAACATGATGCAGTAGTTCAATGATTTGTCACTTTGTTTTGGCCTGATCATACAAACTCTTATGAGTACCCCTTATTCAGATGAGTACTCCCATGGAGCTAATGATTCATATGAGCCAATGATTCTCGTGTAAATAAAAGTTTGCAGGATCAGACTTTTTCCCCCAAGTGAATTAAATAAAAATGAGCAGGTTGCATCTTTCCAGGCTTTTGACAATAATTTTACACGTAGCTTTGGAAAACAATGTTAGGTAATTGGGTACTTTTATTCTAAGCCTTGTATACATCTGAAGAGGCATTTCACTGTAATTTCAATCATGCAGTCATAGTTACACAAATAAAAAGGATATTTAGACATGCTGTCTATAGTGTATCTCAATTATTTTAAGTAACAACCATGTAAGGAGAGAGAAATTGAAGGGAAATCATTGTTAGGGCTTGCTGGCAGAAATTCCATTAACTTGACAAAAGATCATGCCCTCAAAAGCATCTTTTTTTAATGTTTAGTGTTTCCGTATAAAGTATATACATAATGTTTGCCATTTGATCTCCTGAATATTGGTACATGTTTACACTTCAGCACCATATCTTTCATGTAAAAGTTTTGACTATCAGATCAAGCTTTGTTATCTGCAGTAATTCAGTTTTCATGCAGGAACCAATATATGGGTATGAGCCAAAGCATACTGTATTTTTTATTTTACACAAGATATTTTGTTACTTCATGTAAAAAGATCAAGACAAATGTGGTACTAAGTTCACACCATTCTTTTTTTTACTAGATGAATGTTAATGTAAATTTATTAAGGTTTAGAAAAATGTGTTTGTACTGTAGTTGCCGTTTGTATCATGCCTATGTACATGTATGGTTTTAAAAGATATTTTCATTATACATGGAATTCAACTTTGCTAATAAAAGTTTGACTTGATGTATTCTTCAAATGCCTAACTTGTGATCAGCTCATTTATTTTTTTTGCTCATGTTTTTTTGTCAGGAATTTTGTTTTGATTTTAAATTAAGGCCAGATCCTCAGCTGGTGTAAAGTGGTGCAGTTTTATTGGCTTCAGAGGAGCAAATATACTAGCTGAGGATCAGGCCCTAAAAAATCTATTGAATTTACACATTTGAACATAGGCATGCAAGCCAGGGAAAATAATGCATGTCTCAACAAGAGGCAAATTCAAAGTCATAACTGTGCCTTACTTCTATTGTACATAGTAGTACATTATACAGTTTTATAAATGCACTGTAAGTTGTTAGGATTAGGCACAAGAAAATGTGGTCAATGTTTTCAAAAGAACTGAACATCAAGAGAGTGAAGGGACATGTGGTGTGGGGAGATAAAGCCATTAATTCCTAGCTTCCAGCACACACGGCAACTTTTCTGTCTTCTCATCTTGGGCCTAATTTCTTGGTGTTTAATAGCTGCATCTTCCATTGATTCCAGAGGTGAGCTACTCAAAACTGGAGATGAACCTGAACCAGAAAAAAGCATATCTATTCATTCCTGAACTTCAATGGGCTCATTTAATTCATAATGCAACTTCAGGAATGGTGTCCACAGGCAAAGTATCAAGAAATCAATTGTCACACATAAACCTAGCACATATAAATAATATATCTTAATAGTTTTCATGTATCACATAACCAAAGTTACATGTCCCCCAAAGCACTTATAAACTTAACAAAGTGGCGAGCAAATTATTCAGAAATGTCATTTTACCCAGCACAGAAATGCATTCATCTCTAGGATGGCATGATATATCTGTTTAACAGAACATATCAGACCTACACAAGGAAGAAAAGAATACGTTATCCTTCCAGAATTGGAACAGAGGTAGACAAAATGGGCAGAAAAGCATTAGACAGTGCTTAAACAAAGTTCATTAGGACCATGCACATACACAAATATTTCTGTAAATGTTTCAAAATAAATTTGAATGTAAAGTCCACCAGACACCCAATAATTCTTACCTTCATCTTTGTATCCTTTACTCAGGAAGAAACCTAGATATTCTAAAGTCTGAGGTCCCTATACAAAGCCAACTAAAATGAATGCTCTTTCTTTGCAAAAGAGGACAGGAAGATCCAGATCCTCAAAGGTATTCAGGCTCCTAACAAGAGCCTGAAAACCTTTGGGGATCTGGGCAGAAAAGGCTAAAAGTATTGTAAAATTTCCCAGGCCTTATTCTCTCCTATTCTGAATCACTCCATAAAGCTATCCCTACCCCTTTTTTAAAGATTCAGTGCCAAGTGGTTTCTTCAGATATTCCTCCTCAAAGAGGATAGGACATCCAATCTGAGGACAAAAAATTGTACCACATGACCTGAGTTAGACAATTACACACCTTAAATAGAAATTTCCAAATAGCAGATACGCAAAAGAGTACTAATTACTAACATCTGGCAAAAAACTCATTGACTAATATTAATGTAAAACTTATTTGTTAAACAATTATAAATAAACCAATTAATTAAAAATAAATCTGTTCATGAACAATGACAAATTTAATGGCCAAATTTTATTAATAAATTGCTTGCCACAAATAGTCACTGGCTCTAGTCTGATATTCATCATACTATTTTAAGATAATATTCTACACATTAATCTGTGTTATTGATTTATTGGTTTGGTGAAAGCAAAATTCTCACTTGTTGTTTTCTCCCCACTGGGTTTTCAGCTATTTCACTTTAAGAGGAGAAATTCAGGAGTTTTTAAACACATTTTCCAGCTGCATAAACTCAGAGAGCTTTCATTGCAAATATGAATACAGCTAGGAATATAATAACTAGTATTAACCTTTCAGGAAGGTATCAAGGACATTCAAAGTTTTGTTATTATTATTCATATTCCAATATAATGAGAGTTATACTTTTTTTCAGTAACATAATGGAGAGGAAAAGCCTTACAATCATGTGCTCCACTGGAGTGAGAATAAAGATGCAACTGCCACCCTCAATGTATAAGCTACAGATTTTGATTCACTTCAATGCACTGATGCCAAACCTGGAGGTCCTTAGCACAAATTAAAGGAGAAAAAGGAGGAGAAACTATTTTTATTAGATTTTTTTTAGGTTCAGAGTAGATAAAGTGGCAACCTATTAAATTAGAGCATGATACCTCAATTCCTTCAATGTCCTGTATAGCCAGGCTAAAAGGATCCCAACAATCTTATTTCTGATCAGCGTATTCTTTCTGTTGCTCTGTACAGTCAATATTTCAACAAAATCTCACCTCTCCCGACCACTGCCATTTGCTAATAGCCTTGAAATGAAGCTCAGTATGAAAAAAGTCAAGCGTAAGATAAAAATATCACCAAGCCATTGTGATGGATCCCAGTTTCACTGAATATGCAAGCGCCTCAGGTTTTTAAATTAAACTTCAGTTAGTCCTGGGCTGGTCCTGCTCTGTACCAACAGCCAGAACCAGAGCTGGTGTAAATGGACCTACACGAATTTCATAGATTCATAGATATTTAGGTCAGAAGGGACCATTATGATCATCTAGTCTGACCTCCTGCACAACGCAGGCCACAGAATTTCACCCACCACTCCTGCAAAAAAACCTCTCACCTATGTCTGAGCTAATGAAGTCCTCAAATTGTGGTTTAAAGACTTCAAGGAGCAGAGAATCCTCCAGCAAGTGACCCATGCCCCATGCTACAGCGGAAGGCGAAAAACCTCCAGGGCCTCTTCCAATCTGCCCTGGAGAAAAATTCTTTCCTGGGTAACTCAGATCCCACCCCATCTAATATCCCATCACAGGCCATTGGGCCTATTTACCATGAATATTTAATTACCAAAACCATGTTATCCCATCATACCATCTCCTCCATAAACTTATAGAGTTTAATCTTAAAGCCAGATAGATCTTTTGCCCCCACTGCTTCCCTTGGAAGGCTATTCCAAAACTTCACTCCTCTGATGGCTAGAAACCTTTGTCTAATTTCAAGTCTAAACTTCCTGGTGGCCAGTTTATATCCATTTGTTTTTGTGTCCACATTGGTACTGAGCTTAAATAATTCCTCTCCCTCTCTGGTATTTATCCCTCTGATATATTTATAGAGAGCAATCATATCTCCCCTCAACCTTCTTTTAGTTAGGTTAAACAAGCCAAGCTCCTTGAGTCTCCTTTCATAAGACATGTTTTCCATTCCTTGGATCATCCTAGTAGCCCTTCTCTGTACCTGTTCCAGTTTGAATTCATCCTTCTTAAACATGGGAGACCAGAACTGCACACAGTATTCCAGGTGAGGTCTCACCAGTGCCTTGTATAACGGTACTAAAACCTCCTTATCCCTACTGGAAATACCTCCCCTGATGCATCCCAAGACCGCATTAGCTTTTTTCACAGCCATATCACATTGGCGGCTCATAGTCATCCTATGATCAAACCAATACTCCAAGGTCCTTCTCCTCCTCCGTTACTTCTAATTGATGCGTCCCTAGCTTATAACTAAAATTCTTGTTATTAATCCCTAAATGCATGACCTTACACTTCTCACTATTAAATTTCATCTTATTACTATTACTCCAGTTTACAAGGTCATCCAGATCCTCCTGTAGGATATCCCTGTCCTTCTCTAAATTGGCAATACCTCCCAGCTTTGTATCATCCACAAACTTTATTAGCACACTCCCACTTTTTGTGCCGAGGTCAGTAATAAAAAGATTAAATAAGATTAGTCCCAAAACTGATCCTTGAGGAACTCCACTGGTAACCTCCCTCCAGCCTGACAGTTCACCTTTCAGTAGGACCCGTTGTAGTCTCCCCTTTAACCAATTCTTTATCCACCTTTCAATTTTCCTATTGATCCCCATCTTATCCAATTTAACTAATAATTCCCCATGTGGCACAGTATCAAACGCCTTACTGAAATCTAGGTAAATTAGATCCACTGCATTTCCTTTGTCTAAAAAATCTGTTACTTTCTCAAAGAAGGAGATCAGGTTGGTTTGGCACGATCTACCTTTTGTAAAACCATGTTGTATTTTTTCCCATTTACCATTGACTTCAATGTCCTTAACTACCTTCTCCTTCAAATTTTTTTCCAAGAGCTTGCATACTACAGGTGTCAAACTAACAGGCCTGTAGTTACTCGGATCATTTTTTCCCCCTTTCTTAAAAATAGGAACTATGTTAGCAATTCTCCAATCGTACGGTACAACCCCTGAGTTTACAGATTCATTAAAAATTCCTGCTAATGGGCTTGCAATTTCATGTGCCAATTCCTTTAATATTCTTGGATGAAGATTATCTGGGCCCCCCGATTTAGTCCCATTAAGCTGTTTGAGTTTCGCTTCTACCTCAGATATGGTAATATCTACCTCCATATCCTCATTCCCATTTGTCATGCTACCATTATCCCTAAGATCCTCTTTTGTCTTATTAAAGACTGAGGCAAAGTATTTGTTTAGATATTGGGCCATGCCCAGATTATCCTTGACCTCCGCTCCATCCTCAGTGTTTAGCGGTCCCACTTCTTCTTTCTTTGTTTTCTTCTTATTTATATGGCTATAGAACCTTTTACTATTGGTTTTAATTCCCTTTGCAAGGTCCAACTCTACTTGACTTTTAGCCTGTCTCACTTTATCCCTACATGTTGTGACCTCAATAAGGTAGCTTTCCTTGCTGATCCCTCCCTTCTTCCACTCCCTGTATGCTTTCTGCTTTTTCTTAATCACCTCTCTGAGATGCTTGCTCATTCAGCTTGGTCTACAACTCCTGCCTATGAATTTTTCCCCCTTTCTTGGGATGCAGGCTTCCGATAGCTTCTGCAGCTTTGATTTAAAATAATCCTAGGCCTCCTCTACCTTTAGATCCATAAATTCTTCAGCCTAATCCATTCCCTAACTAATTTCCTTAATTTTTAAATGTCAGCCCTTTTGAAATCAAAAGCCCTAGTCGCAGATTTATTTTTATTAATCCTTCAGTTCAGTTTG